TGCTTTGGGGATCCTTCAACAATCCAATATTACAGGTGGGGTAGGATGCATCATGTTGGGAAGGCAAGGAAACCATTTTGTCCTTGTGCTTCTACTTGCAAAGGAAAGAAGGTGGTTGTCTCACCCACTTCCTTAACTTGAGAGGTGTCCCTTTAAGAATCTCTCCTCCTCTTGTTGCCTTGGGAACTGGGAAGGTGAATTGTACCTGTGTTGGCTTAAGCAAACAATAGGATCTGTGTAGGCTGGCAGGAAATCAGTAGATTCAGGTTGCATTAGCCTTCACTAGACCAGAAACAAAGAGGAAGTTGGCAGTCCTTGGCATAAGGCTGGGAAAATAATTTTTGAGTGACACCAACTTACTCCAAGATCAGTTGGCTTAAGGATGAGGGTTGCCAACTTTTATTTCAGCCCCTGCTCCTCTTCCTTTGAACAGCACCCCAGTTTGCAGATGTTAGCAGCTGATGTTTGCCTTGATGATGAAACTTGAAAGTTTATTCGGCTCAAGCTGCTGTTGGAGGAGCAATGACTGGTTATGCCCTTTTTTCTGGACAGTTGACAACTCTTCTAAAGGCTGGTAAATGTCTTTCACACACTACATTAATTACTAAGTTTTGTGCTTCCTTTCTGTCCTCAGATCTTTGACCAGACAGTGGATAACGCTCGCATTGTTCTGCAGATTGACAATGCCAGGTTGGCTGCTGATGACTTCCGTGTAAAGTGAGTGGATTTTCTTCTTGTTGGTCCTGTTTAGTCCTGGGATCCATCCAAGAGGCCCATCTCTGTGTAGAACATGAGACTCAGAGTTATGGGTTCAAGTCCCACATTGGGCAAAATATTGCTGCATTGCAGGGAGTTGGACTAGATGACCCCCGTGTCCCTTCCAACTCTGATTTTATCATTTTGGGACCTTAGAGCCGTCTTTCCCAACACCTTTCCCAGATGTTGGTCTACAATTGTTCATCATCCAAATTCAGTAAGGTCGATGGTCAGGGATAAGGTGAATTGTGGTCCCACATCTGTGGACCCAAGGCTGAGAAAGACTGCCTGGGGTGTAAAGTATCACTATCTCTATATGTGTGTCATTTCATATTTTTTATGTTGTAAACTGCCTGTGATCTTTGGTATGAAGGGCAGTATATTAATTTAATTAATGATGATGTAGTTAGAGCAAAAGCAGCAGCCTCTAACTCTTCTTTTTCCATGGGCGGTAGCCATGTATAAGCCTACAGATATCAGAAAGGGAGGAACACAAAGGCCAGTGGGTCTCCTCCATCCCTGCCTACGTGATGTTGTGCAGGACTCTGGTTTGCTTCCAGAGCACCTTGCATTCAATCTCAATGAGTCCTGGTTCCAGTGGTAATTTCTGTCTCCAGTGGAATGAGGCCATTTGAGTGGCGAGCAATATCAGGCAGATGGGGGTCACCTGCTAGGCCCTTTCTATGCGTTCCCTCTTAACCGTCCATAGCTGCCAAAAACAGAGTGGAGGGCATTTAAGTGGGGAAGGCCTAAATCCATACAATCGTTGGATGACACTGGGGTTTCAATGGCTAGCCATGCATCTGTCCAGACAAAGGAAGGCATAAACTCATTCACTGGGCTGAGAAGACTTTGGGAATCCTGTAAAGTCAGGGTTTAAAGGAACCAGGCACTGAGTGGGTGGGAGAACTGTTGTTGGACTCCCACCCCGCCAGCCCCCAAAAGCATAACCAATGTTCTCAATGGGCACTGTAATCCAGCAATATCTGGAAGGCCCCACTCCTGACCCACAAGTATTCCAGAGTGCTTTAAAAAAAAAAAATCTGTAAATTTTGTGCCAAGAATAGATTAATCCCCCAACCTGCATATGTTATGCACATTCAACAAATTTGCACAATTTCTCTCAATTCTGCACAATTTGTTCACTATTTTATTTAGCATTTTGCATGCATGAATTTATTCTGGTTTTGCTAATCCCAGAAGAGGGACAAGGAGCAGTATAAAGCACCAAAGATCCACCCGTAACCAATGGAGATCTTACCCAGCAACCTCTTTGGCCTCTAAACTGTCAGCTGGCATTACATGTTTTCAAGCGTATGTTTAGAGTCAATAAGGGCTAGAAACTTCAAAATAAAAATCAAGAAGCCGAATTCTTCATTCACCTGCACTTTTTGTGCATTTACCTAGGATCATTCACGGCATGTGCACACCCCTGCTTCTTACACTCTGAATTAATCCCCCCATCGCCAGTGTGCACATCTGTTTGCAAACTGATTATTGTGAAGACCTCATTCCTTCTTCCCTGTCACCCAGGTTTGAGGCTGAGCTGGCCATTCGTCAGTCTGTGGAGAGTGACATTAATGGCCTCCGCAAAGTCATTGATGATACCAATATGAGCCGCCTTCAGCTGGAAGGTGACATTGAGGCCCTCAAAGAAGAACTGATCTTCCTGAAGAAGAACCACCAAGATGTAAGTCTCTACTGTGGTCACTGGGCAGAGACAAGATGGAGGTGGCAGGAGCAATAGTTTGATGGGAGATACTGACTGGGGCCTGTCATGAGTGGAATCAATGGATTTGCACATTTGGGACACACAGCAGCTTCAGAGTCTGTGCTCATTTTATGCCTCCTCTTCCCTTGCTAGGAAGTCAATGCGCTACAGTCCCAGATTGCCAACTCAGGACTGACAGTAGAAGTAGATGCTCCCAAGTCACAGGATCTGGGCAAGATAATGGCTGAAATCCGGGCACAGTATGACACCTTGGCTCAGAAGAACCTTGAGGATTTGGACAAGTACTGGAGCCAGCAGGTGAGCAGAATAACTTTTGCAGCTTGATCCTGACATGCCCCCATAGCATTTCAGGGTTTTTACAATAAGAGAGAGGTTACTGTCCCCAGAACTATAACCCTGACTGTCCTCATGAAGAATAATATGTCTTCCCACCTTTCCGTTAGATCACTGAGAGCACCGTCATGATCACCCAGAATACCAAGGAGATTGAGACCGGCCGTGCTACTGTCACTGAGTTGCGCCGCAACGTCCAAACACTGGAAATTGAGCTGGAGTCTCTGCGCAACCTGGTACGATCTTCACCTATCATTCCAAATATTGCAGGGGTAGGGAGCCTCAGTCCAGGGAGCTATGTGGCCCTTTGGACCTCTCTGCCTGGCTCTTGGGAATCTGCCCAGACCAAGCCCCCTCACCTTGCCCTCCTCTAGTGATATTTACCAGGCTGGAATGTGTGATAATAGCTGTTCCTTGCCTGGATGGCAGTGGGGGTGGGTTTCTGGCCAAACCCCCAGATGTGACCACCTTGGAAGGTTGCCCAGAAAGGAATATGGCCTTTGGGCTGAAAGGGGCCCCCGTTCCTGAGCATAGTAATATAGTAATGTAGCGCTTGCTTGTTTGTGGTGCCTTGTTAGTGTTTTAAGTTCTGTATTGAGAGAGAGGCACTCTGCATGGAATTATTTCGTAAAGCAAAGGTGCAGCCTGTTCCTGAAATGGAGGCAATATATGGAGTGTATGGGATGGAAATACCACCTAAGAACAATCAAAGTGTTGTTGGCTTAGCAAGCAATGACCCTGATCCCCAATCCTGTCCCCTTTTTTATTCTCTCTACAGAAAGCCAACCTGGAAGGAAACCTCCTTGAAGTGGAGAGCCGCTACGGCATGCAGATGGAGCACCTCAATGGGCTATTGCTGCGGACCGAGGCCGAACTGGCACAGATGCGGAGCGATGTCCAGCGCCAGGCAGAGGAATATCAGGCTCTGCTGAACATCAAAGACAAGCTGGAGGCTGAGATCAATACCTACAGAACCCTGCTGGAGGGCGGAGATGAGTTCAAGTGAGCTTTTCATTCTTTCATCTTTCTGGGGCATAAACACAGGACTGGTCATCTGGGCTCTCCCAAGCTAGACACAGATGTTCTATAGATCACCATAGCTCTGGTGTATGTGGCCCTTTCCCTGCTCTTTCTCTGTAAGCTCTGGAACATCATTTCCCAATCTTGGAGGGGAAACTGCTTCTAGTCACAATGGCTATATGCTACCTTCGGGATCAGAAACACACACCCCTCGATGCCTCCAGCTGCCAGGCATGGTGGAACAATGGCAGGAGAGGGCTATTGTACTCTGTCTTGCTTTTGGGCTTCCTGTAGGTACCTGGATGGCCAATGAGGATGAGAGAGGATGCTGGACTTGATAAGCCTTGGGTCTGCTTCAGCAGGGCTCTTAATGTTCTTTTAAAGTGTGTCTTGACTGAATTAGGATAGAAGATGTGATGCTCACTAATGCCAGAGGAGATTTACTTTTACAGTACTTAAGAGTAGACCTGTTAAGTGGAAGCCACAGGTCAGTCTTAGCAACTTGAGATGAACCTTGTGCACAGTTCTATTCTTAAGTTCTAGGACATCCTTTCATGATGGACAAATTCTAGACTCCCAAGTACACTTGCCGAAATGGATTGTCACTGGTCCTGGCCTTGCGACCCCTAGGCCCATGAGGCTTCATGTTGGGCTGCTTAAACCACCTTAAATTGGCTTAAGATGACTGAATTTCCCCAGGAGGTAACAAGGAACTGGCAGCAGTGTCTCATGTTCATTGTCGGTGTCTTCTGTCTCTCTTCAGCCTGAAAGATGCATTACTGGAAAGCACCATGCAAACTACTCAGAAGATCCACACCACCAAGATCATCGATGGCAAAGTGGTGTCGGAGACGAGCGAAAGCAAAGTGATGAAGCGTTGATCACATCTGCTGTGTGGCAAGGATTGCCACCCGGTGCAGCTAACGTTGCGCACCTTTTGTTCCAGAGCTGGAGGGTTCCGGGGAGGGACTGGGGTGGGTTTTAATGGAATTCAATAAAGAAATGTTATTAAAAGAAGTGGTGTGGTTTGTATGCCTATTTGTCTATTTTGCAGAGCCCCTCCCTCCCTCCCTCGGTCCTGACCCTGGGAATCCTCCTGCAAGTGGTTTCCGTATTCAGTGGCTTTGCACATGGTGTGCCTTGGAACAGGACACCCCTGTGCCTTGCAGTGGATACTGAGGCATGTTCTAAGATGCTCACTCTGATGCCTGTTGGGCTTTTTGCCACTTGTGAGACGGAAAATGCATCTTAACACAAATGGATTTTCTAGAATAAGGGGAAATCTGGTTTAAATGTTTAAAGAATGACCATGACAATGCATGGATGCACGCCATAAGTTTCTGCAGCCCAGAAAAGCTTATGCTGTAATAAGCAATCTACGGCAGCTGCATTAAGTTGACCCTTGGTTGCCAGCACGCCCAGGAAGGCAGCGTCAGGCCCTCTGATGAATGGAATATCGGTTTACTTACTGGGAGCAAAACACTCCTTTGCAAATATTTGTTTGCAGGGAGAGGGCCATTTCCAGGAAAGGGATCCAGCCATAAAAGATTGCGTAACTTGCCTGCCAAGCGCCTACCATGAATTACCTTTGAGGCTGCCCCACCCAAGGAAGCTGAAGTGTTACCCACCCCTGTTCATTACTAGGGGATTTCTATAGCAAGAGAGACGGGGTCCCAAGTCCTGGGTCTTGTGCTGAACCTTGGCTCTCCTGTCCTTCATCCCTTAAAAAAAACCAACCACTATATAGTACTGCAAAGTGAAGTGTTGAGACTCCAGACAACCACCATTTTAATTTATCCCCAAACCTAAGAAACTGTTTCATGTCACAGGCCTGTGTCCCAAGTGTTTTAAGTACTGTTAGGAATTTGTGGGCTGGGGGGAAGTCCTGGGCACCAGAGACCGCTTAGCAGTGTAAAAATGCAGGCTGAAATCTGCTCCCTGGCAAGGAACTGCTTGGGGAGAAGAACCACCATGTAGTACAAAGGAAGGTAATGGCCCATTGGCACAAACAGTACCTCCTCCCATGAGGGGCTGGTGAGCAGAGACAAAAGCCAGGTTTAGGCTTTCCGTGTTCCATAATGGAAGCTGGGAGGAGGAGGAGGGTGCCCAGGTTACAGGGGGTGTGATGTCACACAGGAAAAAGGTGTCCTTTTAAAACTGACGTTTGGAGGAAAGTGCAGAGCTGCCTGGGAGAGGCTGCATGCAGAGCTGCCTGGGAGCATGGCTGGCTTCTGGTCTGGACCCAAGCTTGCTGAAGTTCAGGGAGAAGCAACAAGAGACACTCTGGGTGTAATGTTCTGCACTTCCACCATCAAAAATCAGATGTAAATCAACCATATTTCTTAAAGACACTGCAGACTCTGCCATGCCTCATTCCAAACCCTGGTCTCCCAGATAATCCTTCAACATGCAAACCACTATACCAACACTGGCTCCTGGGTGTGTCATCTTCAGACTTGGAAGAAATGGTACTTCATAAGTTCTCAGGTATTGGATTCTTACAGAAATCTACAATCTATAGGCAATCAATGCCCCAAGGCATAGAGCTGAATCATTTGCTAGGAATGGGCAATATTGCTGTTAGTCAGCCCCTCTGACATTACCCTTGAATTCCTCAGCATCAAGGGCTACAGCTTTTCCTGCATGAGCTCACTGTATGGAATGTTTTTGAAACAAGGTGGACTTTGAATTTTATTGTCGGGAATGGAGGGACTATCTGGAGAAATGTGTGTGTTGGCAAAGTGTCCGATTACTGTGAAATGTGCAAGGCTCAGGCAGACTCTTGCCAAATAGGGAATTGGGTGTCCCAAGCTTCCAAGGTAGAGGGAGGAGCTTGAAGCCAGTTGGACAGAACAGAGATCACCCTACAGCTGTGTGTGTGTGACAACAAAAGAAAATCACCTGGGAGATAGCCTTGAGTAGAGAAGATTAGTAACTCAGATTGCCATGGAAAATGCATATATAAGCAAAAGCCTCTTGTTGCTGCCTTATCTTTAAATACAAGCCTGGGGCTGTTTGCAACCCAGACACAGATAAGGGGAAGTCTGTGTGGAGAAATGGATTAACTCCCACCCCTTGGATGTCTTCGGGTAACTTCTTAGTTCATCTCACTACAAAAAACAGCCCAACCCAGAGATCTGAACCTGCAGCAGTGGAGCACATTGTGCAACTGTGCTTGCTTGGAGACCCAACAGATGGCTAGCACTATCAGTGTAGCTCCACAAGTCACCTATTTTGTGACATGTTCTCCCTCTGTCCTCCAAGAGGTGACTGATGCTTACAGCATCTCACTGGTGCTGCATGTCCAGTCCTGATTCAGTGATAAAAAGCTCAAAAAAACCTCATATAGTTTTGGCAAGTTAGGGAAACAAGGGGACTTAGTTCAGGAAAGATAATAATACAGTAATTATTATTATTATTATTATTATTATTATTATTATTATTATTATTATTATTTTATACCCTGCCCTCCCCGGCCAGGGCTGGGGAACCTGTGGCCCTCCAGATACTGTTGGACTCTCATCAGCCCAACCAGCATGGCCAGTGGTTAGGGATTGTGGGAGATGGACTCTGGCAACTGCTAGAGGTCCACAGCTTCCCCACAACTGGCTTTCACCATAATAAATGTGTTCCATAGCACTCTAATAGTTTTATCTTGTTCTGTAACAGACTAGGGCCTCACCCACACTTCCACTTGCCCTATCCTTTCTAGGTGTGGGTCCAAATGGTTTTGTCTTTGCTCCACTGCTTTCTCCTGGAAAACCAACTTTTGAGCACCAAATTGGAGCAAACATCAATCCAGAGAAAACGCAATTGACATTTGCTCCAACTCAGGCATAAAGGTCAGGTTTTCTGGAGGAAAGTAACAGGGCAAACAGAAGTGAGGATCAGACCTAATATTGCCAACCCTACACTGAAAAATAATATTTGTTTGACTTAATGGATTCTCCATGCTACAAAAGACACAAAGATCATTGCATCTGAGTGTGGGGGGAAATTATTGCCCTGGGAGCCCGCTAAATAATTTAACCTGGCTCTCTTGACACCTTCCTTCTGAGTTCTGCATTTTGGGCAGGATAAATTTTGTAGAAGGGGCTGCTACCAGGCATACACATGCCAAGGGCCAAAGGATTACTTAAACAAAGCAATCTTTGTGGAGATACAACTAATATCCCTTAGATGAAGTTTCACCGCTCTTCACTGGCTCCAGGAACCTTTAGCAGTGCACATTCTGGACACTATTTGGAAATTAGAATGACCCTGGAGGATAATGACACAACCCTTTAACAACCAACTCATACTTGGGGCCCATCCAGACTCTGGCTTTGTGCAGCCCCAGGGCCAGCCCAGGGGCTTCGGGGAGCTAAGTAGTAGACCCTGGAAGCTTCAACAACTCACACCCACATGCTTCTTTTTCTCTGAAAATCTGTGTCAATATTTAAAAGGACGGGTCTACCATTATCACATATAACAGGGATTGGGAACCTGTGGTACTTCAGATGTTGTTGGACTACAGCTACCATCATCCAGTGCCAGATTTAGGGTGGTGCAGGCACTTACCCCACACAGCGCACTGAACCAAGGAGGTGCAAAACTGAGAAGATCCATAATTGAGAAGATCCATTTGGAAGTGCCAAATTTTGGCCTCGCACAGGGTGCCATGGTCATCCCTGGCCACTTGCCATGCTGGCTGCAGCTGATGGGAACGGAATTCAACAACATGTGGTGTCATATACCTTGGGCCCAAGCCTTTCTTATGAGCTATCTGACACATACATGAATGGCTGCAATACAGATTTAACAAGGCGGAAAATTAAGGCCCATGGAGGAAGATAGATTTGCAATTCTACTTCAATGGACACGCACTTTTTCTGTCACCTGTGTGTTCTGTTTAAAGAACAACATTGTTTGGTTCTGCGTTGCCACGGGGTCTTGTATTCCTTACATATGGCACACTGGAAAAAGTACAGTTGGTACCTCCCTGAGCAGTAGCTTTAGGAGGGGTCGCTGCACTATTGGGTCAGGTTAGTAAGCCCAACCCGATAGCCCAGCGACACCCTCCTGAAATTAATCTCTGCCACATCACCTGGAGAGGAGCAACCAACTCTCAATTCTATGACTCTTGCTGACCTTCACAGCAGCATAAGCCTCACTTTTGGAGAGAGTTAATGCTAATCAGCTCAGCCAGGTGACTGTCACAAATATTCTGATTGTAATTAACACAATTTCCAAGGGATGCCCGTGTGCCCTTGGGCTGGCCGAGAGGGAAGGAGAGAGCGCTGCTGCCACCCCCACCCATCAGCCTTTCCGTTGGGCTCGGGAGAACAAGGAAGCTGCAGAAGCAGCTTTCTTGGCAACAACCCAGCACCGCCTTGCCGGAGCTTCACTCCCGAGCCAAGCCTGACCTGGGTGGGAGAGGAGGAGAAGTGGTGGCAGCATCGCCCTACCAATCAGTCCAATGGGATTGAACGGAAGGGCGTTTGCCTGCCCTGCTGCATCTTGCTCACGTCGCCTTCTGTGCCTGGCCACCTGCGGCGCCAGGGAGACACACTCCACTGATGTTGCCAGCACTGCTGAAAGTGCCGGAGAGAGCGTGCTTGTTTGCTTTTTAAGGGAAACATGGGGCAGGTGTCATCTGTAGGCTCTGCTATAGTGCTGGTGCCCCAACAGCACTATAGCACCACATGAGCAGCTTGCAAATGAACACTGCTATGCCTCTGCATATGGAGGACATTTATATCATTATAGGATCTGGGTGCCAGAGAACCCATATTTCTTGGATTTATTAAGTTAGAATTAATCACGATTTGACTAAACTGGGCCAGACATGGAAACCCCTGCATTTAGTTTATGGACGGGGGTCATGGAAGAACAAAGGTGACCCACCATTAACCTTTTAAGTAGGCCATTGACAGAGACTTTTTGGGCTCACAGAAAATGGGGAGAGCCCCACCTTGTGGTGGGAGATCGTGGAGACACAAGGCCAGAATTTAATTTCAGGAGGGACAGAATGGAAG